TAAAGAACTAATATGAAATTATTCCAAATGAGTTTTTAAAGTTCGTAAACATTAAATTTAAAAATATATTTTTTTTTAAAAAAATAAATAAAATAGGCGGTGATCGCACAAAATTTTAAAAGTTCTTCAATGTGCATAAAATGTAAGACCAATGAGTCAAAACCAAAGGCTAACCTTTCTTTGGCGTGGAAAAGAAGTTCGGCCTTGAAATTCGAAAATCTGTCATTATAGTTTTTACAACACTAGAAACAACTCGTGTTTGGTATGTCGAGTCTTTAATTGATAGGCTATTATCAGAACGTGAGGTCATCATCGATTAATTGCAGAATACACTGTTACTGTTACACTTTATTATTGCGCAATCAATGATCGATATTTACGACACGTTTCAATGCCGATGCGTACCAGTTTTAAGACATTTTTCTGCGCCCACCATCCATAGAATTACACATCGATATGCATTTGAGAATTTGAATAAAATACAGCGTACAAGTACAAATTTGTATTATATATTATTTTAAACGTACAATTATAAGATACTTAGATTACTAAATTTAAACATAATAATTCGACCGAATTTATGAAATATGCACTAACAGAATACCCATCACAGATTATCATCATCATCATTATTATTATTTTTTTTTTTTTTTACGGATTATCACATATCCATGTATGAATCATTGATGCATTCGGGATGTAAGAGGTTGAAATTGGTTAAAAGGGAATAAAGAAGAATCAGATAATTGATGGAAGTTCTTGAGGCATTTATTGAGGAAAAGGATTATACGTAGTTGGAAGAATAGAAGACCTTCTAAACGGATTACTATCTATTTCTACATGTGAAGTAGGTTGAATTGGTGTTACTTGCATAGATTGCTGAGGTAATTGTTGAGCTTGAACAATATTCATAGAAGTAAATGGATTATTATAAGACGAAGAAGGTATAGAAGGTTGGAATGGGTTTTGTTGAGATGGCAAAATCGAAGATCTGTTAGAGGAAATATCTTGACCAAACATGGTAGATCGAAACGGATTAGTATCTTGAGGAGTCAAGGGTGATTGAATTATCTGAGGTTGTGAAGAAAATTCGGTTATATGTTGATGTTGAATTCCTATAAATGGGTTGGTAACGCTGCTATTCAATGTGTTAGTGGGTGAATACGTTTGAAGTGGTCCAAAAATTAAAGTTTGTTCTTGTTCAATACTTGAAAAAAAATCGATAAAATCTTTTTCTTTTGAAGATGTTTGGGTAACGATCGGAGGAACAGAAGGTTCTACGCCTATAAATGAAGTTAGTATAAATTTTATTATAAGGGTAAACAATAAATTTACTAATAAATGGTTAATGATTTTACTTTTTACAGTATTTTTAGGTGAGTTCCTAATATCAATAGTTTGTTTGTCCTGTTTTGAAGTTTTATTCTTATTTTCTTGTAAAAGTTTATACTGTCGTCTGTTTTCCTCGAATTCCGGATCATTGACATACTCTTCTAGAGTAGCTGTTAGCGATGTAGGAGCCTACCAATAATTATTCCCGGCAAATTATATATATACTTTATAATGATTGCATATTCATGAAATAACCAAAGAGATAGCTCACATGTTTAAGGTTAGGAACGCTCATTCTAAGAGCGGCTTGCATTTTTTTGGCTATGCTAAGATAATCAACAACCTTTTCAGTCTGCTGGACATATTTTTTATAAATTTGCAGAGAGTTTTTAGCATCAATTCGTGACATTTCAATGTAATGTTCTACATGAGAGTGGATATAATATTAAAAACATATTATTGATTAATTCGAATATAATAATGTCACATCCAATTACCTAGAACATTAATGACTCCCTCATTAATAGCTTGAAACAATGTAAGCAAATCCTCAACAAGGAGTCGAAATGCTGTCAACGTTACTTCGTTATCTACTTCATCTATAAAGAACTAATATGAAATTATTCCAAATGAGTTTTTAAAGTTCGTAAACATTAAATTTAAAAATATATTTTTTTTTTTAGTTAAAACCTTGCAATTTAGTAAAGCTGTTATTTGACGTTGAAGTATCTCGACCTCCCGTAAAAGTCCCTTATCGACTGAGAGCTTTCTCAAACGGCTATCGCCATTGTCTAATTTTTCTCTGACAAAATCGATTTTTAAGTCTCGATATACTGCCACTTTCTCTTCAATATATGCAGCATATGTATGGATATTTTTAGTTTGTTCTGCACCTACAATGATTAAAAGACCTCCATGTCACAATGAACCAATGGCTTGATTAGGATGAAATTACGCCGGGTCCGCATACCTTGAGTTCCTGATTTATCTTTAAAGCTTGATACATTTAAAATGGTTGGTTCTCTCGCCAAACAATTTAAAACACGAGAATTCGAACCCTGTCTCATCATAACATGAATAACAATAAGACTCTTGAAAACAACCTTGTAGATTTTAAAAAAAGAAAGCGATTAATGAAAAAGAAATTTACAACTAGAACTGAAAAGTGCGAACTTACTGTCCAGCTATTTTCCTTTAAACGATGATTAATATGTCTTAGCGCTGACGTTAAAGCAGCCTCATCCGATGTTGCATCTATCAATACTAGAAGGGAATAATGACCGATTAATATTCAAGTAAAATTAGGATCTATAATACACTGGTTTTATATAATACCTTTTAGATATTTCGTTTTCGGGGCAGCACGCTTAGGTTTTGTTGCTCTGCGAACTGCCCTTTCCATTACTTTGATTTTTTAGGATAGTGGATAATTTATTGAAAAAGAGGGTTTATTTTTAACGAAGGTACTTTTCTTTCTTCTGAACGTTTTAAAGTTAAATGGGAAATAATAAAATTTAATTTAATTTGGCTCCAATTAAAAACTAATGCTCACGTGCGCTGATCAAAAATTATCTGATCTTTTTATATAAATCTTCGTATCGTATATTATCACATGCATCTCCAACAGTTCCGAAATACCTCGATTAGAAAATTTTCTTATTAGACTTTTGACATGACTTTAACCTTTCTTTACTTAACTTTATTAAGTTTCGGCCCGAAATACCGAACGTTAATGATCCTATCGTTAAAATTTTTAGCAGGGCACCTACTAATATACGGAGTGCCCCACCAATTAGACTACGCCACTTTCGTCTACCAATCAAATTATAAGATCAGGTGTAACATAAAATATCAAAAAAAAAACCGTTCAAAAATCGCCAATAACTTAAAATTTTGTTTACAATGTTAGCATAGTGTACGTTCTATTAGACCTTTATACCGTTTCCCCTGTTATTTGATTGAATCAAAATTTCGTCCCTTCGTCCAATAGGAAGTGTGGGAAAATTAGTTAACCCCTTCATATAACAGTATTTTGCATATAATGGGCAACAATCTATTGCTATAGCCCAGTGTTGGCAATTGGACAGCTTTTCTGCTAAAACTTGTCCAAAAGCCATCACTGCTATAGCCTATAATGTTAACGCCCTAGCTGGTTTGTGTTAGCGCAAAAAGTAAATTCGCCGGGATAGCGTAGCACCCGTCGTTAATAAATCAGCTGACGTAAGCACCTAGCCATTTTCTGCAACTTTATTGGGTCATTTTAAACGTGATACACAAATTTTTCTCACTTCCTATCGGAGGTGAGCAACGGTTTGTGTATCATGTAGTAAAAATGACCCAATAACATGCATGAAAATGGCTAGGTACGTACGTACTCGCATAAGAAGTGTACAATAATTATTATTAACAACGTTTTCAATTCGACCAGTTTAATTTATTAATAGAATTAATTAATTGTTTCCCATAACATTGATTTTTAAGTCAAAAGATCCGGCAATTTTAAAATTTTAATTTAAATTTTACATATTTAGAATCATAAAATTTCTTTCCGTCCGAGTTATGAAAAACGATGAGTCCACAGTTTAAGAAAATTTTCTGGTAGAAATTGACGCAGTAATCACTATTGTCTCATATAGAAGCGGAATGCTGTATTTTTCTGATCTTAAAAAATTATATAGTAAAAAATCGAGAAATAATGTTTATATGGTCTTGCCCCGGACACCAAATCCTGACATTACTAAAATCCTGACATCCGACATCAAAATCCCGATACTACCAAAATTCTTAACAGTACTACTGCAGTACTGTTAGAATATTGGTAGTGTCGAGATTTTGGGTGTCAGGATTTTAGTAATGTCGAGATTTTGGCTGTCAAGATTTTGACCGGGATAAGACCTGTTTAGGTGTTTATATCTCTTGATCTATTGAGCGGATCTTGGTTTTTACCACTGTACAAATCCAAAAAAAATTATTTTTACAATTTACATATTAGAAATCAAAAATAGTTTT